TTTTTGTCCAATGCCAAAAAAGCCACTTTTACAATGGGAGATTCCATTTCTGACTGAGAAACCCAAAACCTCTTCTGTCTTATTCCTTAATTTTAAGAATAGCTGTGTCTCATTATCAGCTGAAGACAGGCTTTGTAAAAAAATAAGAAAAAAGCAACAGGAAGTAAATCTGAAGACTCAAGTTGAGAGTAATTAATTTACATTTGTTTCATGCAGTTCCTAACAGCTGATTTAAAGAGTTATGCCGACTATCTGTTTCTAAAAATGAAGACACCACTGGAGTAAAACTTAACACCTGTTTAACAGTGTGATGTCTATAAAAGACATAACAAAATTGCCTGGGACAGCAGGGGAATAGTAACTTGGTTTCCCCAACTGACAGTGAAGAGCAGATTTAGAGAACGTGCTCAACCTATCTAGTATTCTTTGCCAACAGGTTTCTATTCTAAGCAGTCATAAAATATATTTTAAAAAAACCCAACAAACCAAGCCAAAACAAAAAAAAAATCCCCACCCAGAACACAACTCTGACCTTAGATTTAAAAATTGTCTTGAAATGCCCAGACAATGCATCCCTATTGAAAGTACTCGTGGTTCAATTTTCATCTCCAGCATCAAGGTAATTTTAGAAATCAGCTGCATGGATTTTTCAGTTAAACGTATGCTCTTATAGGTCGGGTATTTCAATGCATTCGGACATGTGAAAAATCTATGTGCCCACCTTCATTTTCAAAAGGTGTCGCTGGGTAAAGCAACAGAGACGAGAAACCTGTGCAAATCCAGATTTCCCTGCCTTCTGCTTAGCACCGCTGTGTGCCAGTTCTCATGCTTCAGTGAACAGCCGGGAAGTCACTAAGACCCACCTAATTACCTGTAGGTTCCAGCTATTATGCTGTCCAGTACCCCATTGACCCTGCCAAATCCCATTTAGCTGGAAGTGAAATGTTTACACAGCCATTTATAAATTTATACCCTGAAAAATTATAACAAATCCGCCACAAAATTAGCAAAATCTCTCCGATTAAGGAATGTGCTATCTGGTCCCCATTATGTTGTCTGTACTTGTACAACCACTCTTTAATCAATCTGTTGTGTATCAGAGTCAACATAATAGCAAAGATCTAATTTGCGTAACAATTTGCCGCATGACTTCATTGTGGATTCTTGGTGTTACAAAGATTTAGTCAAACTAGTTTCCTATTATTTCAAGCCCTTAGTGAAAGCACTCTCCAAGTTCCTGTTCTGTCCATACTCGCAACATCCATATTTTCCTGCAGTGATCCAGTAAAACTTAATGATGGGTATCATGGTACAAAAGGGGAGACAACTTCAGTTGGAACAGTTCGCGCAGTGAGTGCAAACTGGGATGAAATCTCTCCCTAACGGACTAACACAGAACAAAAGGATTTATCTTCTTTTTGTTGCCAAGGAAACCCTACAATGTAATGCTCATATTCACTTTTTATGAGGAAAATTCCCTTCACTCTTCCTGGTCTTTTAATTTCAAATTCCTTTAAAAATTCCTATTTCAGCGAGGATTCGTTTGTTCCCTTGGGCACCTCCTTTAGAAAGAATGCAACAGGGCATGTCCACTGAATTTACCAAGGACGTAAAAACTCGGCCTTGTTTCAAATTTTTCATAGCAGCTTTTTGCAGGGCCTAACATATTTTATTTCTAAATTAAGGTTTTGATTTTTAAATATAATTTTTACATCCAAGCTTAGAAAATGTGCTCTTCTGCAGCGGTACTTGTCAGCTGTAGCTCTGGAAAACATTTCTATGTTTATGTACAGAAATTCCCATGAGAAGACAGAAAAAAAACCCAACACATGAAGAATGAGGTTAAGGGGGGAGGTCTAAGGGCAGCAGACCCCATTGTCAGGGTAAAACAGTAGCCTGGCTGCAGCATCTGCAGTTCTAGACATCTGAAAAGTTCTCCTGAAGACTAAGAAAACAAGGTATAGGGAGCACAAAACAGGGACGCTTGCAAGAGGACAAAACAGCGTAGGTTTGCAGCAAGGGCAAGGTCAACGTTACACTAATTACAGCGGTATTTCAGAGGTTTCAACAGGCAGGTTCAAAAATGAAAGAAATAACAGAGAGAAAAAAGGCAGGTTTGGATGAGTCCAAGATTTTGGCCCTGGGAGCAAACACAAACCGTTAAGCTCCAAAGTGTGGCTCAAATGTGACAAATTCATCTTTCATGTAGGAAGACAGACAGTTGTTTTTGAAGCACTCAGTAGCTGGAAGTTACGGTGTCTACAAGAACTGATAGCCAAGACAGACAGACGGGGAAAAAATATCAGTGTCTATATATCATTATTGCTCCCACGGCAACAGAGGGAACACAGATTGCTGAATTTCCCACAGTGCCCCCAAATTAACCATTCGGACAGAAAAGGCCACGACTTCCAATTTTGAGGAACTGACCTTGTGACACCATTAAATACTTGATATTAAAGTACCATTGCAGAAGACACTAAAAGTAGTTTCTTGTGTTAGGTGACTTAAAGAATGTTATCCTAACACCTGTGTCTTTGAGTAGATTTTTAAGGAATCTCAGTTAACCACAAAAAAACCCAAATCAAATCGGAACAAAAGAAACACAAAAAACGTCCTTCATCAAATGTGCTGAAAATCTGATCTTGTTCCATATGAGACAAATTTTCCAAATGTGTACTACACATACAGATCCTTTAACTGTGTAACAATGGAAAGACTGATGCTCAATTTGTGCAGACTTTATGCTGAAATAAAGAGAAATTGAGAATAGAATACAAATAAAATATAGTCCGAAACTGTACAGAGTCTATTCTTGGTTATATAGCAGTACATCTCAAGGACAATCACATTAGACAATTTTTCCTTTAATTTAGTAATCTTTAACTACAGGCAATTGGCTTAGGCAAAAAGAGGAAATGATCTGAAATATATTCTTAGATGTGCTATGTACAGATCCATGCAAAATTAAAGTATTGGGTATTGGATTTATATAAGGAAAAGTATAATTTGTGAACGTACGCATCACATACTCAAATAAACCCAGCATCTTCATACGGTTTCTGTATATTAAAAAAGGCCATAACCAAAACATATTTACTGATGTTGTAATGCATTTAAAACCCAAACTGAAAAAAAAAATATTCGTTCTCTGTCTTCATGGGTGACTGGGCAAAGAGCTCAGACAGAGGCAGGCACCCTGCAGTGTGCCCTGGACCCTTTCTTGGTCTAGATCTGGTTGGAATAAACCCTTTCTCCCCCTGCTTTGCATGCCAGCAAGGAACCCAGGAACACGAAGGGGTGCTGGTGGATGCTCAAATCTCTTTCTGCTATTAGATGGGATGAGGCCAGCTCAGGCACTGCACCAGGATCTTGGAGACTCTCTCGTGATAAAAATATTATGAAATGTCTTACTGGAGACCTTTGGTGGTGGTTTGCTACAGCAAAGGAAGGATTCCACAAAGCCTTTTCTTCTCTCCCTGCTCTTCCTTAACATTTTTCCTTCAACGTAATGATTTAAAGATTAGCTTTTGCCACATTCATGGCAGCTGCCTGAATTGTAAAAGCTACTTAGAGCCTGCACCTCCATTTTCTCCTCTCAGTATTAAAGCTTTGGAGAATTTCAAATGCATCTTCAACTCAGCTAAACCGAATGAAAAGTGACATGCATGAGACTGTATGAAAACGAAAGCTTACATTTTTTTTCCAAGAACACAGGTGGGTATGTCTCTGCTAAAAGCAGCCCCAAAGACTCCCCAAGGAATGGACGAGTTTGACGTACAGAGACAGAGCTTGCCAGGACAGCTGTCCTCAGAGCCGGAGCTCAGGCCCCGAGCTCCTGGAACCCGCCTGTGCAGGCAGAGTGGACACATCGTCACTTGGCTTTGGGGATGGCCGATGTACCATTCTAAACCGCCTTGTTCTGCTGTCTCTAGCGCACTTTTGTATGTGGAAAAGCTACGCGTACGTTGATAATTGTTCGCACGCTGCGTGGTTCACACTGCTGTGCACGGATCAGCTTCGCTGAAGTACGATAGCTACTTTTCATGCGGAGAAGCCATTATTACTACTTTTCTGAAGTAGAAAAAACGGCTGCTAAACATGCACAGCAGTTAGATGAAAGAAGTGAATATTACCTTCATTTCTAAACCAGCTTATCGACATTCTATTCCTTCCTGCATGCATCTCCTGCCACGCAGGATTTCTCTTGGTATTTACTCTCTCCTCTGCAGATGCTAATATATGGCTGTGCCTGTTCACGGCACTTTCAGGGATTTCTGAGACCTAACGACCTCTGTTTTTCTTTCCTCTGTTGGCAGTCAATGTCCTTCCTTTTATGTAGCTGTTCTAACTTCAACCGACCTGAATTACAATTGTAATGGACTTAATGAGAAGCCTGCTAAAAAGATGTCGGATAATCTTGTCTAACCTGGCATAAGAAACTGCAAAAATAGGGCTGTGGAAAAATATTTATACTTGGTATTGCACATTAACCCCCTACATCTCCTCTGGGATCTCCCAGCACACAACGCCTTCAGCTGCTGGCGCCAAGAAGTTAAAAGGTCTGCGTGTACGTTGTAATCAATTCAGTCAGGTAACACTGAACGGGTGGGAACAGGCTTGTGGCTCAGTGTGAACGAACTCAAACTTTGTTTAGCTGTAGAAGTCAAACTGATTGATGGTATAAAGTAAATAAGCAATTCCCCAACTCATTCTATAAAGAAAAAAAAGCTAAACACTTGCTTAAAAAAAAAAGAAGAAAAAAAAAGTACAAGCTTGTAAACCAAATAAAGTAATTCCACCTCTTTTCACAGGTTCTACAAAATTGCCTTGCCCCACTGTAACGCTGCACCGCTCAGCATGGCGCAGACCAACAACCCTTCCTTGCCTTTTCTGCCAAGAAAATAAATAAATCATGAATCTAAGACCAAAGATACCATATCACAGTTACTTGAATGAAAGTACAAAGAGATTAAAAATGAGAAAAATCAACTTCTTACCTTGGGCAGGATCAGGTGGGCCAAACTCCAAAGAATATCGCAGAATGAAGTTGTTATTCCACACGTAGAGCTGGTTGTCTCTGGGGTTGTAATCCACGGCAGCGATGTACTGGTACTGGTTGGGGAAAGGAATTTCCACGTGCTCGCCCCTGCTTAACCTGGTGTTGTAGATGTAATCGATGGCGTTCCTACCAGTCTCGCTCTCGTTGTCCTGATACACCGACCGCACTACATACAGGACACCACATATCATGAAAGCATTGGATGCTGCCCGTTTGTCATACGTCGTTTCCCACGTGGCTTCGAAACGCAGGGTGTAGGGGTTCAGCTGGCTAATTACTATCATCCCGTTGTTTTGCTCCGTAGCATAAATTACCCACAAGCCATTTTCATCAACTGCCAAGTCAATATCAGTCTTTCCTCCCCATCGGTATGGAGAGGTGTCATGGTAATTGGCATAATTGATTATGGCCTCTCCACTCTTAATTCTAGTCCGCAAGTCAAATTTTACTATGTTCCTAGTTCTTTCCTTGTTAAAAAAGACAGCGCCATCATACACTACAAATCCAGTACCATCCACTCGATTTGGGAGCTTATACGTCGTCTGCTGGCGTCCGTTTTGGAAGTCCTCTAAAGAAGCATATTCTATCAAAGTATCGGTGCGATACGGAGTCCATGGCATGAAGTATATTTTATCTGCAGCCTGGAGAGGATCTTTGCACCAAGCACCTGCTTTTTGTTCAGCTTCATATAAATACGGTGAGTCCACAATTGCTTTCAACGTCCCCGGGCAAACAAAAACTAACAGTCACAGAGAAAAGTAAGACAAGAATTACGTCAAATTAAGACTGTCTCATAATAAAAAAAAAGAAAAAAAAAAAGAAAAAAAAAGTAGGTAAATCATAATGACTGTGTCAGGAAGAAAAAAAATCAATTTAATTGGCACTATACCTTATGTTATAATTAATGCAATTATCACCCTTTATCATCCACTTTTCTTAAAGTTACCATGTTCTTGCTGTACCAGTATGGAAAGTGGATGGGAACTGTTTTCACTAGTACAGACCAAGGCTCAATGGCATACACAGACAGCTGAAAATGTAGAGCTACTCTTGCATTTTCATCTTAGACTTTTAGTGGTACACATTAACGCTCCAGAGCTTTTAACTGGTGTGCAGCAGTGCGCTAGGTCATTTCAGTCCAAAAAAAAATCACATCGACTTGTTTAGAACTTTAAGAAGTGGTGAGGCTGAAAAAGGAGGTGCCTCGATTAAAATAAAGGAACAAAACAAATCATCAGGTATATAGAGAAAGCAATTAGGAGCAGAGAAAACAAAACACAACCAAAGCAATGAATGAAACAGACCAGGAAACCCTGTAACCATGGCATGCTATGGAGAGGGTTCTGGAAGCCAGGCAAGATGACACTTGATTAACAAGAATTTACCCAAGGGGGAGAGAAAGAGAGGGAAAGAAAGACAAAGAGAGAGGGAGAGAAAAAAGCAAGGGAGTCTTCCCTCCAGCCCAAGTATTTCAGACACTATACCCCGCCACCTACTTTAAGCAGCCAAGTCACTTTATTGCAAACAGTCGACTTCTTTATGAGGTGTACTTATGAGATCCTGCTGATTATCATAATATAAGAGTGTTGTGGGGAGGGGAAGGGAAGAGGTTAACATCCATAAGGCACATAACAAGGAGCTGGGGTTTGGACTGTATACGTTATTTACCTTTTTGCTCCACTTCTATTTTAAGCATCGGAAGAAAAATAAAAAAGTGCAAGGAAAAAAGAAAGAAGATTAACATAAATTGACTATTAATCTAGAGATTAAATTAGTAACAGACGCTAAATATAGGGAGAATAAGAACTGCACTATATTGGATAAAGAGAAACAGACAACAGGAAAACCTAGCAGGAGAGAGATTCTACGGTTACACAAGTGAACATGGATCAATCATTTTAGTTGATTAAGGAGGCAATACAGAAATGCTGGCATGTAGTTTCACTTAGGGAACCTGAATAAATAATGAATGACTTTACTAATGCATGCTATACGTACTCTTCTCAAAGTATAACGCTGTCAAGTTGGTTTTTAAGTCACACATTAATTTACCATATATGTGCAAGTGCACATATACATATTATATTAATTAATTAATTATAGATAAAAACCGCAGTGTATTAATTATATAGGTTTGCATGTGTGCTTATTAAACCTTTCCCCATCTTTGCCCCAGACATCTCTCTACTTTTCTTTCTTGTAAAGAAAGCAGCTTGAATCCTTTAGCTCTCCTTAGGCTTTATTTTATTTGTTTTCCTGAATGTTATTCTTGAGAACTTTTGCCACTTCTTAGTCTTTAACTGCAAAATCAGACTAGAAGGAATAAGCAAAAATATCTAGAAAAAAGAAGCAGAAGCACAGTAAGCAAGAGGAAAAGAGAAGAAAAAATTAACATTTAGCTCATTCAGATATTCTCCAGCATCATCGATTAAGCCCGAAACAGCAAGCTAGTGCAAGGACAGTCATACCAAGTGTTTAAAACAAATATTCATTCCGCCACTGCACAGGGAAAGTACAAACTGAACTGGGTTAACAAAGGTATATCACTATAGCAATTTTTCCCCAAGGAAGTTTTAAGGAATATATTACAGGAAGACATATAGCTAAAGTCCAGCTAGTAAATAGCTTTCCAATAATTATTTGCAATAAAATCTATTTCATATACTCAGTAGCCTTTGAAGTATGCTCTCCTAATTTCATAAAATGACCTGGAAAATGGCAGGTGTACTAATTTGTGCAGGAGTAGCTGCCCATACCAAGGAAGTGTATCAAAACTATTCGCACAGCTATTACATCTTCAGTACTACAATAAGATCTTGAAGAAAATATTTGTATGTTTCATATAAAGTTCTGGATTTTCAGTTTCATTTAACAAAATTACATATGAGTATTTTGAAAGAATGGTGTTGGCTGAGCCAATCTAGTGTTTCTTCAGGGAACAACTCCAAAACTTTATGGAGGAGTGGGAGGAGGTTAATATCCTCAACATGAGCAATAGTTTCCCTAGCCTTTGCTCATTTATACATCTTTAGGTAAAATACTTGGTTTTCTGCAATTTGTAATTCCTGAGTTATCTGAGTAAACAGAAGATGCATTCTGAGGTGAATTCCAGGGTTTCACAATCACTGTTACTGACTTCCAGGTGATTTTGTTTGTGAACTTTTATGCATGAGTTTACTCCTTGCCAAAGAGCAATACTGATATTTTACCTGCTTAGAATTAGCAATAGGAGAGGGGGAAAAAGGTAGGGATAACTAAAATCATTACCGGCATGTCTGTTCTGTGTGCACTGGTGTACAGCTGTACATTTTTCAGGGACAGATGGGCTTATTGAAATAAACAAATGCAGACAGAGAGAGAATAAAACACTTTAAAACGTTTTCTATTTAATCCCTGCGCCCAAAAAAGGCTTAAAATAAAAATGCACAGATGTACGAAATGGTACTTTCGATGTTCTTCTTTATAAAAGAGCTGACTTCTGTTATTCAGTCAAAGTGTCAACATGCATTGTGCAGCATAATTGAGAGAAATGTCAGTTATGGTACTCTTGGTTTCTTTGTAATTTAATCAATAACACTCTTATTTTAGGACAAAGCAATGCCTATCAAATTTGTCTAGAATTTTAGTTTTGTTAGAGATCCAACTGAGTATCTCAATAGATTTTTTTCCTCTATGCTTCGAGATGCAAAAAAGGAAGCTTTTCGTTAAGTACTTTCTTGTGACGGTGATGAACGCAGAACCCAGAGAAAGCTCAGTGAGTACGTGTGATCAGCAAAGCAGCTACGTATTCCTGCAGGCCAGTAAGACATAGAGGAGCTCATAAACTGCATTTTGTACAAGGATGACACCAACTCCAGTGTGTAAGAGCTCCCAGCTTTTACCACAAAGCCTGATATGATTGCTACTTGCAATCTCTCATCGACTGAAAGGTGTCACAGTGAAACAGGAAATTTTGCAGTCTCGCAGTAACTGAAGACGAAGTTCAGAAAAAGTAAGAACCATAACTGAACTTTGGTTAGAAGTGCTGTGATCACTAAAGACCTTCCTTCCTAGACCCACAAAAGCCTATCCCACCTTGCTAACAAGTCTCATGCTGCTGGCAAACCTAATGATTTCAGTCATTCCTTATGTTTAGATATGGAGCACTGGAACAAGTAAGGGAGAAAAAGATTAGACTTGATCACTTGTGTTTATCAGGCTTCAAAAAAAGAGACTTGGAAAAATACCAGGATAGGCTTTGTGGGACACGGAAGTAAAATGGTCAAAAATCAAAACACAATGTGGTTTGCAATCAAAGTTCAAAACTGATTTCAGCAACTGGCAACTCTTTTGGTGATTGCTGGTATTGACAGGTGATGCCTCTTACAGTTCCGGAATGGGGCAGTGTCACCACTGTACATGCAGTTGACAAACTCCAAAACTTATAGACTTTGAAAGACAAGAAGTATCCAGAATCCTGAGTTACGATAGACACAGAATTACATAATTCAAAGGGTAGGCCAATGCAACTGACAGTAAGCAAAATCAAGCATTTTAGAAGTAGAATAACTACACGTTAGAACACAGGATAGGCCGCGCTGTGGCACTATACTTCTGAAAACTGGAAAAGAAAAGATTCCTGTAGATAGCGATACCCAATCAGTAGAACATATCCACACTTCTCTTCCTAAAACAGCATAAAAAATCATGTTTGAACATTATTTGCATTACACTTTTTCTCTATGAGCTAGCCTACGGGAACTGGAAACGTAACCTTGTCATTTGACTGACCTCATGGGTTGGAATCAGGTGCACTGCCCTCTTAGAATTTGGGAATGAAAATAGCGCTAAAGTAAAAGTGATCTTTGTGGAACAAAACTTTGGTTAGATTGGGATAAGACATCACTCCTCTAAAGTGGCACGAGAAGAACAGTTACAACAAGCCACCGATACTACACACAGGAGGAATGGTACTAGGGATCACTGTATGCAGTAGGCTTCCAATCCTACAAATGGCACAGAAAAAAAAAATCAGCAAGCAACCATTTCACAATGACACAGCAGAAATGAAGAAAAAACAGATGATCTGTGTTTGGTCTTTTACAAAAGAGAAGGTTCAATGTGGTGAAGCAGTACAGAGTAGTATTTCGGTTTAAGAAGTCTGAATTTTAAAACTGTGCAGGAAACAGTACGGACAGTTTTGACATAGCTTTGCTTATGCCAGAACCCATTTCCTTCTTTTTTGGACATATACTGTCATCACAGTGTTTTTTGCATCTCAGACTTGGTCTGTTTCCTGTACCAACAGAAAATGTGACTTTGGTTAAAGATTACTGCAGATCGGGAAATTCATGCTTAATAATAACTCAAGGGAACGATCAGTGCACTGCTCAAATTCCATTGCAAACACAGCTATTTCTCTGTTGAGTTACGGGACGAGGGAGAAATCCCTGCAAAGAATGACCTTACATGAAAGTAAAACCAGTTAAGAGTGTCAAAACTTTTATAAACAAGAATACACGTCAATGAAAAAAAAAGCATTCATTATTGCAAGGAAATAAGAAGTACATCTAAAGCTATTGAATTCTGGTATCAGAATACTGAACAAAACTGCTGAAGTAGCCAGAACTTAATTTTTTTCTATCTCAATACGGTTTCAGTATTTGTTTTTGGTGAAAATTTCTGTCTCAGCAGCTGATTCGAGGCACAATTCATATTTTCTCTTTGCAATAACAGTGAACATTTCTTTCTCGCTCTTTTCCCCATTGCTTTTAAGAATCAAGTTTGAGTAACACTGAAGAATTATGTACTCTGAATCTGCACTCACTTACAATGTGCCCCTGAAGCACAACGTCCTCTTACAAGAAGTTCCCCAACTGGGGCATTTGCCTCCGAGTGTCAGGGCTGGGTTTTGCTGTGCACCCGAAGCCACCACAGCAGCAGGTAGCCTTTCAAGTGGATCATGATTAAAACTGAAGTCAATTCCTGCTTTAGAAGTCTGTGAGCCAAGCCAATTTGTCAGCAACTGGTAGCGGGCAAAAGTACAAATTTCTCTCTGGCCTACTGAATAGCTAATTTGAGTTTGTTTTCTGGAAAAACAGTAATCTTAAAAGCCAAACACTTAAGAACACAGACAGACACTTGGCCAGCATCACCCCATGGCTTCCTTCCACACTTCGTGAAGCTAATTGGAGGCCCTAGTCTGCAAGTGCTCTGCATGCATAATGGGTCTGTGGGCCACAAACATATGCTGCTTTTCCATGTAACGGCACTCCAGCTTTAATTGTGAGGGCCAGAGGAAGTGAGCAAGAATAAAAAGATTATACTTACTGTAGGGAACGCATTCATACTGAACTTCTAGATATTTGTATGTTCCAGGACAAGGATCAGGAAACACATCTGATCCAGTAACTACTATACACTGTGTTCGGTTGTTGCACCTGTAACAGGAAAAGAAAGTAAGCCAGTTAATTTAAAATCCCATTTCATTCGCAAGTTCATACTAAGTACTACATGCAGTGATAGTTCTCTTTGCACTTGGGCAGTCCAATCCATGAGACAACAAAGTTAATTAATACTAGATCAGGCAAAGTCCATAAATAAGTCCTCAAGACAATATTTCAGTTTAGTCTTTTTACTTTTAAACTTGGAGATTGATGTTATCTCAAATGTCACTTGTTCCCTCTGGTAGAGATAGCCATCCCAAACATGTATCGATTTAATACTACTGCTCGATAAAATCAAAGCAAAATACAAAGATGAAACAGAATGAAAAAATGTGTAATTTTAAATAAGGTACAATAACACAAATGAGCGATTCCTTCATCTTTAGAGATACACAGACTGCTGAATGGTTGTACATCTGAGAGATTTTTGTTGTAATTCACAGAAACTACTTTAGTTGGAAGAGTTATTGTAGACAAAGAGCATTAGCATTTCCATTTTAATTATTTCAGGAGCAATTGGTGGACTATAAGCTTCCTCAGGTTAAAGGAAGAGGTAAAGAGGTAGAGGAAATAAAAAAAAAAACCAGTTAAAAAGAACTGCAAGAAAATGAATGATCATATATTTTAGAGGGGACTAAATACTGAAACATATATATGATTTGCTTAACAAAGCAAGTCAACGCTTTTTAATAAAAAGAACTTTATTACAATTCTTCTAACCACAAGAGTGTCCTGAATTTAATGTTTAAGGTTTTTTTTAAATAATATTAATAATCAAGACATTTTAGACTACTATTCATTTTTCCAGGAAAAAAAAATTATCTTGGAAGTTGAAAATGTAAAAACAATTACCTAGGGATGGTCAAAATGTAATAGAGGAAAAAAGGTTAGCTCATCTCAGGTTAGTTTTGTATGTTAGCAAACTGAGTAAGAGAAGTATAAACTTAAGTAATAATTTAGTCTTTGATTCCAATTGTACATCAACTTCTCTATGGTCTTACGACTTCCCACACTCCCTGAATAGCACATCCCAGGACAAAGCAATCTATCTTGTATCAATGGCTTTCCCCAGATGTACATTCCCAACAGGTGTAAGAATAATTCATGCTACCTTATAAAAGGTAGAGCAAGCACACTTGAAGAACTCTGATATAAATCACTTTTCTTTTTATATACTACTCAAACCAGCACAGATCTGGTCAGGACATGCTGGGCCTCTTGCTGAGCAAACTCAGAAACAACAATTCTTCCGACTTTAATAGCTAATTCTTCTTTGCTTTTTCGTTTTCTCCTTCTTTGAAGTTACTTATTTCCAGCCTCATAAGGCTCACGACTGCAGAACTAATTGGAAATACACAGGGATTTCTGCATATATGCACTACCATGGATACAGATAGATGGTGAGGAATTCAGCAGTAACCTCTGTGCCGCTTGTGGCAGTGACTTTCCAGAGAGTGCAGGCAGGTCCCCTGCGCACCCAGGGCCGGGGTGACGCTGGAGCCCTCCCAACAGCGCGATTCTTCAGCGCTGCAGCTCATGCGGCGCATCACAGAATCACACAATGTTCGGGGTTGGAAGGGACCTCTGAAGATCACCCAGTCCAACCTTCATCCCAGCACACCCAACCACTACACCACAGCCTCAAGTGCCAGATCTACTTTTTTTTTAAACACCTCCAGGGTTGGTGACTCCACCACCTCCCTGGGCAGCCTGTTCCAGTGCCTCACCACTCGTTCAGTACAGAACTTCCCCCAATAGCCAACTCTAACCTAACCCTGGCACAACTTGAGGCCATTTCCCCTTGTCAGAGACCCTGGAGCCAGCAGGACACACCCGATGGCCTTCAGAGCCACGCGGAAGTGACGCAGCTTGCAAAGAGCATCACTGTACTGAATCTGCAATAGTGCAGACGTGCCACACAGCTGCTTTTTTGTACTCGCCCGAAGGTCCACGTGCTGCTCACGGATGCTGGGTCGGACAGGCTGGGGAAGCAGAAGGCAATATGGCCCAAGGCCTCACAGGCCTCTCAGCTCCAACCCTCGCAACAGGGTCTGTCACGCCCCACACCTCAGGCCACACTAAGCAGCATGAAAAAACTTCAGATGTAAGATTTTGTAATTAATTTCTCTAAATCTCTTCCTGTTGCTTCAGTGAAAACCTTACGCTGAAGCCAAAACAAAACGACTATGTAGGGCATCATTCAGTATAACGATTTCCACAGCTTTGAGCTGTATGAAAATTTCATTTTATACTTGAGTGAGCAGCAATTAAGAGAGAAATATTGATTTGTTACAAAATAAAATGGATACATATTTGAAGAAATTGCTTGAGAATGAAACTGATGAAGGTCATATTTAGCTGTGGGGGAAAAAAAAGTTCTACTAGTAGTATTTGTACATCATGAAAAAGATGGATTCTTGCTTCCCAGCGAAAAGTTGTTTTCTCTTGCATGTTCCTCCAGCGAAAGACTCATAAAATCGCTGTCAGAAAACTGAGAAGAATTTAATCCTAGCATGTATTGCCAGGATGCGTAATGATATTTCAGACGAAAATGCAGTATTGTTCTCCTTATACATTAAGTGCCAGAGTCAAACATCAGGCATTGGATGGTGTTTACAGGAAGGTGCTGACCTTATAAAAATTTTTCAGGCAAGATCTCACCCACCGTGTATTTGGTCACTTTTTGATCACCTTCAGCCAAAATGAAGACCCCAATTCCAAAACGATAAGCTACGGCCACTGCTGCAGCACACGGCAGTGCTGCAAAGCACACTTCTGCCTCCCCAAGAAATGCAAGAAATTGGATAACTAAATGAATAGAAGGATTTGTGCTTTAAGTTGCAGTTTTTTACATTCAAGGCCCTGATTCTGCTGCATTGCTGGCTGCATTTTATAAAACCTGAGTAATTTTCATACAAGGTTCTGGTTTTCATGCATTTCTAAGATTTCAAATTAAACACACTTGGTTAAGATACTCACATTGTAAAAAGTCAGCATTCAGGTAACTGTTATATAGTTAGTGATCACATTGCAACTTCAGTGACACTTAAAAAAAAACCCCAACAGCAACTACAGCATCGGCAATCCCAAGTCATGAGTTACAGAGAGGAGATGAAGAATAAGTGGACTTTGTAGAGGTAGTTCTGAGACAAGTAATTCAGGGAATTTACACTACTGCAATTTGTTCTCTGGATAAATGAAAGTCCTCTGTCTGCTGCACTTTTTTTTTTTCTCCTTAACACCAAGGATAGTAACTTCTCTATTAGTTATTGGCCTACAGTTCTGCTGCTGCCTGCAAAGATCATTTTACAAACTGATAAATGTTCAGCTGAGCTTCTTTAAGACAAGAAGCACTGAATTTTGTGGTGTATGAGACATAAAATACTCCATTCTCCATAAACTAACACCAAACAGCAGATTATGCTACATGGCTATAGATTACCAAAGCTAGAGGCCTAGCAGAGCTTTGTAATTTTGAGAAATCTTTACACTTCAAAACACTATGCCCAAAGAAGAGGATATGATACCGTTCAAGGCTTCAGTTCAACCCTGTGACCCGCTTTCATTCCTTTTTGTAATGGGGAAGACCTTTCTGAGAGTGGCCACTTCATGAGATTCTCCCAAACAAGACTACATTGGAAATAAAGTTCCTCATAATTTGCAAAACTGGCCTAGACACCATCAGGAAAAACTAAATAAATCCAAACCTCAAAAGCCTTAACTGGCAAATAACTCGGAGTCTCTCATTCATTTTAACCAAAGCTATTTTTTCCACACAATACACTTTTACTTCTCTCCGTCTATTCAAAATCTTCTAGAATTGTTCCAATGAAGGCATGAGACAAACCAGCTCTAATTTCTGCAAATTTAAGAAGTCAAAATCACACATACTTTAGTGTTTTGGTTTCTGTAATCCAGTGTTTAAGTTTTCTGTAGGTTTTAAGTACCTTTTAAGTGTTCTATAACCTTCCCCAGCCTGTGTTAAAATACGCACATCCCCAGGTTCATACGTACAATTTTAGAGTTCATATGATCTCACACTGAGAAATGTCTTCACGCTCTAGACACTCACAATATTCACAAAGATATATGATGCAATGACTTTGTCATTTACAAGGAAATAAAGCAGATCTGCAAAGAACTCTCTATAAACTCAGTAACAGTTGATTCAGGAAAGGTTAATATACGAATTAAATTTGAAACCCTAGTCAGGGAAAGACTAACTGTAGCACTGCAGGAACGGTAATTCAGGTTCCAGCACTAGCAGTGGCAAGAGCTGTGCAAGGGGAAATGCAGGAAGTATCACTCTTCTCAGGAATGCAAGGAGCAATTGTGTACTTTAACTCTCTTTCTTCAGTAGTTTAGTATGAATGAAGAAAGGTTACATTTTTGTAATGCAGATGCACCACTTAGAGTAATCTAAAAATCAAATGGAGTGTTTAATTAACAGTTACAGTACAATGTCTGAACTCTTTTCACCTCAGGAAGAAGACTGTGCAAATGAGGAATGGCCCTTTCACATTTCAGATGAATACAGAAAAAAAAGGAACTAAAGCAGCTCCAGCAGGGCTGTGAGCAACTGTCTTCTGCTCCTGAGGTAACCACGTCCCTGCTGCATCCATCGCCTCCCGTGCTCAGCTTTACTCACCATGATAATTTGTTTGCATTTCAACTCTAATCTTGACTTGTACAATTCCCAGCAAATTGCTGTTGCTCTTTTTTTTTATTATCTTATGCTCATTATTGCACTTTTCCACGTGCAACGTATGGAGATGAGATTCCATGTGCAATCTATTGTGTGAGGTGTTTTAATCAATAATCTTGTTCTGCTGATTAAGCAGGGGGTTCTGTTTTGGCAAGATAACATTAGTTTCTCCTGTCATGCTCCAAAAGCTATTGGGAATCTTCATCAGATCATTAGATATGCTACAATAAAGCGTTGGTACATTCTCCTTTCTTCCTTAAATTACTTCTTCACTGTCCTATCATTCCCT